CACTTCAAGTTTTCCTTCTTTGCTCATTGTCTATTTATGTGTCTCTCCTTGTATATTTTTGTCTATAGCTTATCTCTATGTATATCTGTATGTATAGGTGAATATATACATATTTTTATATAAGTAGGTATGGATGTAGATGTATACAGTATGTATGTATTTACGAATGAATGTATGGATGTGTGTTGTAGTATTATCATTTTCAAGGACACACTTTGTTGTCTTTCACTGTACAGATGTCATGGTCACCAATGATTACACTAACATAATTATTGATGATTATATAACATTATACAACCTGGATCTATTAGTCTCATTACATCACTAGTGGTGTATAATTAAGTGATTCTTACCCATATATAGCGTACGTAACTATAGAGATTCTCACGGCAATTATAGCATTACGTGACAAATCTCTTTCATCATAAGCGTCAATTTAGATGGGAAATGATATATGAATTTTGGATAATGACTTTAAGGGAGATACAATGATCACGTTCACCAGTCAACTACGGAAGTACCAAGTAAAGGTAAAGTAATTGCCGTAAGGAAGTGGCTAATTATGAAGCAGTTAACTGACAACTAATGTCAATTAGCATTATTCACTCAAGGTTTACAAATGCTAATGTCGTATTATCTAACGAGGTGAGGAAGTAGTCGATTGTCTTTATCATCTTAGGCAGGAAATGGTAATACTTTAATAATAAGGTACTGATTACTTGACCGACTGCCTCCTTGATGCTTAATGGCCATATGAACAGGTAACTTGGGCTAAAGAGGTCATTCAATTGTAGAACTATGCAATATATTAAGTGATGATTTTAACACTTTTACGTCAATGTCATAGATCTCTCTCGTGTCCAGTGTTGGGTTTACACTATTGGAATCAGGATGTTGTATGCAAGCGAAGATTTGGGTTGTAATTACAGGTAGAGTATTAGCAGAGAATTAGTCGGGAGATGATGATGTTGTAGGTAATGGAGATGATAAGTGAGGTAATGAGGGTGCGGATGGTGAAGAGAGAGAGAGAGAGAGAGAGAGAGAGAGAGAGAGAGAGAGAGAGAGAGAGAGAGAGAGAGAGAGAGAGAGAGAGAGAGAGAGAGAGAGATTCTGAAGGGGATAGCTAACACATTATCAATAAAACTGTAGGTGTGTGTAATGGCATCCAGCGAAATACAACACTTGGAGGACCGGAATCAGGCGTTAGTTACATCAGGCGTCAAATGGGAGAGTTAGATTATAGAGGCAAGACCCTCGGGTATGTTAAGCTGGGAGGTCTACCATCCACCCCTTAGGAAATCGCCGATTTTTCTCCTGTTCTTTATGTGTGACAGGTAAGGTACCCCCACGACCTCCTTCATCATCCTGCTGTTATTTCTTTTTAACCTCTTCCTCCCCCTCTTCCTTCTTCTCATTCCTCAATCCAGTTCCCTCTCCTTTTTCTCTTTCTCCTCTTTTCATCCACCTCCTCTTCCTTCTCCTTATTCTCCTCCTCCTTCCTCAATTCAGTTTCTTCTCCCTCCTCCTGTAGTCTACTTTCCCCTCCTTCTTCTACTCATGCTCTTCCTCTGTATTGTTATTTATCCATTTCTCTCACTTCCTTTTCTTCGTTTTTCTTACCTCCCCTACACAAGTTTAGTTCCTATCTGTTCTTTGTACTTGTACTTTTCTCGTCTATCTTGTTTTTTATCCCTCTGTTCCTCCATCTCTTCCCTCTTCATCTCACTCTTCCAAAGCCTCACCTTTCCTTTCTTACATCACTGTCTATTTCTCTTACCTTCTCCTCCCTAATCTTTTCCCTCTCCCTCCTCCACCTTTCATTTTTTTCAATTCCTTTCCTTCCTCCTAACGTATCTATCCACCAGAGACAACAACTATCCTCTGTCAACTGTCCACCTCCTCCGACCTTCTACGACTCCCACCCCTCCATCCTGTACCTCGGGGGCAACAGGAAATATCACGGAGACATGTGTATAAATATCGGAACGTCCCGGATGTTTGGTAATACCTGTGAGGGTTTTGTAATGTCTTGAAAGTATTAAGAATCTGGGAATTGTATAAGACTGTTGTAAAGCTTATGGAAATTGCAATGAGTCATTTGGAATAATTGAGTACCTTGATATAATGAGCTCGTTGGTATACAGAAGCCTTTAGTATAGTGAACCCCTTGGTATAATGAGCCCTTGGTAGAGAGAGGACTCGTATTAATAAAATTCCCTGATCCCTAAATTATCGCCAGTGTAAGGACTTCTCGTGCCAGGATGACGTGACCTAAAAGAAAGTCTGTCAGTAATGTTTACACTCTCTGTTTATCCCATTCTGGTCGTGGCTACAGTTAGGATCGTAACGAAAGGCTAGGTTAAAATTTTCTTCAATAGGTTGAGGTTTGTATCCGTCGATCTTGGTGTTTACAAGGTTGTGCCTGTGTTGATTCTATTACTGCCCTTTTTTCCACCTCCTCCTGCTCCTCCCCTTCCTCTTTCTCCTCCTTCTTTTCCTCCTCCTCCTACATCTCCTCATTCTCTTGCTTCCCCTCCTCCTCCTCTTCCTCCTCCTCCTCCTACTTCTACTTCTCTTCCTCCTCCTCCACTTCCTACTTTTCCCCATCCTCTTCTTCTTCCTCCTCTTCCTTCTTCTCTTCCTCCTCCTACTTCTTCTTCTCCTCCTACTTCTCATCTTCCTCCTCCTTCTACTTTAAAGAACAATAACATATGGGAAGTAAAAGATGAAAGAGAAATGAAGAAACAAGGAAGAATAACGAAGACACAACAAAGAGTAGAAGAGAAAATCCATCTATCCTATCGTATACCATACTATCCTTAAATCCCTTCTTCCCCTTTATCACCCTCCTTCCTTGACCAAATTCTACCAACTCCCTCTCCCCTCCTCTTCCGTCATCATTCCTCCACCATCTCTCCAACCATCATCAAAGGCCTCTATCCTTTCGCTCCCTTCCACTAGTGCCCTTTCATCTCTCTCTCTCTTGCTCCTCCCACCTACAGTAATCACAATACCCACCACCGTGTTGTAGCATTAATAACGTAACGTGAAGCCCCTCAACAACAACAACAACCCCCTTCGCTAAACACTCAGCAATATGACCCCCCCCTCCTCCTCCTCCTCCCTCCTCTCTTCTCTTGCGCCTCCCTCTGTAATCCCCTCTTTATCAGTTATTCCTATCCATGAATTCGTCCCATAAAGTAAAACATAACAACACTCCCGAAAATTGACCTTGGGGGAGGGGGGGGGGTGGGCCATAAGCGTGTAGTGAAGTACCTCAACACGACCACAAGACTCAGCTGGGCTATCGTGGTATGATTTACTGTGGCTGAGGACACACCGTCACACTGTGGTCACATAACCCGGACCATGATCCCGTGTTCAACAATAGCTCATGTGTTGTGAGGCGCCGGGGGCCTCTCTTTACTTACGATGTACGAGGGAATCGATTGGGGATAATTTTTGGGGGGGCTCGTCTTTAACTCGTTTTCTCAAACACTTTGAGTAAATTTTGTGATTTTGTCTGGATGACTTTAGTTTTTAAATATTAAATTATCTGGTTACGAAAAACTCTTTATATATATATATATATATATATATATATATATATATATATATATATATATATATATATATATATATATATATATATATATATATATATATATATATATATATATATACATATATATAAATGGGTACTATTTTTGGCTGACTTAGAGAATAAAATAAGGGTCATTCACGGAAACTTATGTATGTACTCGCACAGTACGGTAATAATTAAGTTAAGTGGTGAATAAGAAATGTATTGCAAGGAAGAACATGAATGAGAATTATTTTAACAAACAGCTTTAGTAGAAATTAGTACATTAATGGTTATGATACTCGTATATATCCACAAAAACAAACTTATTTTAAATTGAAATAATTACCAGAATTGTGTTGCTGTTTTTTCTTGTTGTTCGACAAATAATGAATGACACAACTTCTTTTGGGACTCTGGCCAATTAGCATAATTTAGCTATTAACAAGTTTATCGTTCTGGAAGGCACATTGAAGTTGCTGTAATTGATGGTGAGCATCTAATTAAGATATCTATCTAATGTTGATATATAGCTGACTATGGGCTGCTGATACCGACAGCTAGAGTACAATGTATTCAGAAAATTAGTACAAGTACAGGAGTAAGTTTAAATACAGGTACAGTAGTTTCCATATGCTAATGCCATCATAAAGCTGATTCTATAGCGAATAATTGTTACAAATTATTGTAGTTGTAATAATGCGTCTATTTCCGTCGAGTTGTTAACAATAGAGAAAGCTTTCATAATATAGTTCTTCTCAGGACATTACAAGGATTTGCATCTATATTGTTATTAATAAAGGAGACCTGAATAAATATATCGGTGAAAAGTACTTAGGGAATATATCCAACATAATTTAATATTTCGGCGGCATATTTTAAGCTACACCTTAAGTAGACAGATGTTCAGAGATCGATATCGTGAAATGCATTTAATTATAAGTATCAAATATATAAAGAGTCTCTAGTAAAGTCTGATTAGTAAGATAAGATATATATATATATATATATATATATATATATATATATATATATATATAATTAAGATGATAAAACTAATGAGCTACCTGTGTAAGAAACCTGTAAAGATTACATAAAGAAATCTAATTAGGTATTAGTGAGAAGCCGTACAATGTAAAGAGACTCAATTGACGAAAATCTAGTTATTGGTATAAGAGGAGAGACTCGCGAGATAAAACCCAGTTAGATAATTGAAGGTTTAAAAGACGCTTAGAGACTCGGCTAATAAGACCTAATCACTCGAGTGCGAGATAAACCACAGTAAGCTAACGTCTCCAGGTCCGTGTACAAACTCAGACAACAAAACTTTAACTTCCTAGTGATAAGAGATCTGAAGAAACTTATGAGATAAAACCCAGTTAATAAAAAGGTTAAAAGAGACTCCTGGAAGACTCACCTAGTAGTAGCCTTTCGTTTCAAAGTCTGCGAGATGAGGGTGTAGATGATGAGGGTGCATCATCTGGTGGTGCATTTGGTGGTACGCCTGTGGATGCATACCCATACCCGCGTTCATGCTGGCCATCTTGTGTTCCTTCTTCCACTTCATCCTCCGGTTTTGGAACCAGATTTTGATCTGTCGCTCTGTGAGGCAGAGGGCGTGGGCGATCTCTATCCTCCGTCGCCGCGTCAGGTAGCGGTTGAAGTGGAACTCCTTCTCCAACTCGAGCGTCTGGTACCGTGTGTAGGAGGTCCTCTGTCTCTTGGTCTCCCCGTTGGAGTTCACTGTACCTGTTGAGGGAAGGAGGAGTCAGTGCCTTGCTTAGTAAGTTAAGGAGAATAACGTTATTGGATGGTGAGGACGAGGGAAGGAATCTGTTATTATTAATAGTAGTAATAGTAGTAGTAGTAGTAGTAGTAGCAGTAGTAATAGCAATAGAATTTTAGGTGGGGATAAAGGCAGGTACTGTTTCTTAAGTTTTTTCTATATAAAAATTACATTGTCTGCACCTAGTTGTGTTTATGGTTACTGGTACTCGTTGAATAATACACCTTTAAGTACTTTTCTCTTTACTGTAAGTGTCAGTTGACTTTTAGAGAACTTTATGACTACACAACTTAAACAATGGCTTCTGTTCCTCGGTATATTGGTAATGCTGAGTCACTTGATGATGTCATTATAAAAAAAAAATATTTGTGGGTTTTGATATATTAGTGAGAAAAAGTAATACGAATCTTAAATAGAAAAAAATATCATGTGAAAAAGATCATAAGTAATATAGATTTTTTTATGGGTTACCTTTTTGGGGGGGAGGAGGCGCCTTATAGAGAGACATTCATAATATAACCAAACCATAAATGAAAAAAAAAATAAATCACATCCAAATCACATAAAAATCACCAACGATATACCACTAAGCCACCTTCAAGTACCGTCTGATATTGATAAATGTAAATATAGCCGACGAAACAGCTGACAGCAATACATCACATCAAGGTACATGGTGATGAAATAGAGTAGTATTGAAGAACAAATAGTGTAATGGGGTGGGGGGGGAGGAAGGTAGACCTGAGTCACCACGACCCCGGCAACCAGAAGTAGGCAGTGAATAATGTGTATAGGTGTCATTAATATCTCGATAACAATGCGCAGTACGGTTGAATCACCACACACGGAGCATTAACCCCCTCTTCTCTCTCCTTTCCTGGTACGGTATCCCTCTTCCTCCCCTCTGATCACTCCTACACTTACCAACTTCCCTCCCCCTCCCTCTCTACCTCCCTTTCCTCCCTCTTTCCCTGTAAGCTATTCCTTCTTTATCGCTCTTTCTCTTCTTCTTCTTCTTCTTGTTTCCTATGTCTACGTCTCTAATTGTTCCTTGTTCCTTCTCCCCATCTTTCTTATTTAATTTTCCCCTTCCTATTCATCCCTCAATCTCTTTTGTCTTTCCTACTCATATTTTCTCTCCTTATTATTCACCCCCCCAATATACTTCCTGTCTTTCCCCTCCTCCCTTTCCATCTCCAGATATTCCCTATCCCCACTTCTCTTTCCCCATTTCTTCCCCATTGCTACTTTTCTTTCCCCCCTGTCAAGTTTTCTCTTCTCATCTCTTCCCCTCCCACTTATTTCTTTTCCTTCATTACCATTCGCCTGTTCTATCTCCCCTTTAATCACCTTTTCCACACTATTCACTTTTCCATTCTTTCCTTAACCTACTCTCTCCATTACTTTCCTTCGTAAGACAAAAGTATGTAAATAGGGAATGGAGAGGATGATAAAGGAAGGAGGAGGAGGAGTAGGAGGAGGACGAGGATAGACAGGAGTATCAGGAAGGGGAGGGGACAGGAGAAAGGAAGGAGGACTCGCCAGTAGGAAGAATAGAAGAGGAAGGGGGATAGAGGAGGAGCAGAAGTAGGGGTGCAACACAAGGAGGAGGAAGGGGAGGAGGAGGAGGAGGAGGAGGAGGAGGAGGCAGTAACCACGAAAGAAAACAAAGTAAAATATAATGAGTGTAAATTGAGGGAGGTGGAGAGTGCAAGCAGGAACCTCCCCCTCCCCCACCCGCGTCGCCTTCAGGTACTGAGACTTTCACCTTAACACCTGTGGAAAATAAGACACACCTGGTGCTCTCTAAAGTTGTTACTCTTTCTCTCTTTCTCTCTATCCTTTTGTCTCTCTTTAATTTCTCTCTCTACTTTGATGTATCTGTGTCTTTTAATCATTCATTCATTCATTCTCTCTCTCTCTCTCTCTCTCTCTCTCTCTCTCTCTCTCCTCTAATTGAGATAATATTTTCTTCCTGTTAATTACATTCGCTTTTTCTTTTAATGTTTGTTTTAAATTACTTTTATTATTCTCCTTTATCAGCTAAAATATCAACTCCATTCTTCTTGTCTATTGTTTTCTTTATCTATCTTTCCTTTTATTTATTAAGTCTCATCTACTTGTTCCTCCATCGTCGCCTCTTATTACCTCCTCTCATTTTCCTACCTCTTACACCTCTTCCTCTCCCGCTTCTACCTCTCTCTCCCTCCCTGGCTGTCACTCTTAACATTTCCTCTCTTTCAACTTCTCACCATCCCCTACCTCCCACATCCCCTCCCTCCCCTTGTCAACTCCCACCCACACCCCACCCACAACCTCCTCCTCTCCCCCAGCCCCCTTCCTCCTCCCACCCCACCCACCTCCTCTTACCTAGCACCCCACCTACCTCTCCCTGTCACCCCTCAACCTCCTCTTCCCTCCCCCACCCCCACTCACGACTTCCTCCTCTCTCCTACACCTCCACACACCTCCTCCCTCTCACTGTCACCTCCTACCTCCCACACACCCTTAGGTCCCCAAGCCCCCTCCCTCCCTGTCACCTCTCACTACCTCCTGCCTCCCCCTACTCCCTCCGGCAGAAATTAACTAGGGCTTGTGTGACGTGTGATGGGAGGGTAATAGAAGTGTCGCCCGCAGACTCTCGTCGACCGAAACCCAGCGAAAATTAGTCCACCGCCTGTCACTGTTGCCGAAGCTAAAGTCCTCCTCTCTCTCTCTCTCTCTCTCTCTCTCTCTCTCTCTCTCCTTGTTCCCCCTCGGCTTTTTCATGCTTTATTTCCTTCCCTTCTCCCTTGCTTTTCTCTCTCTTTTTCTCTCTCGCTCCCTGTTCTACCTCGATGTTTTCTGCTTTCCTTATCTCTCATTTTTCCTTGGTTCTTCATTTCTTTCTCCTCCATCTCCTTCCTTCCTTAATATCCTCCATCATATCAATCTCTCTCTCTCTCTCTCTCTCTCTACCATCTCTCACCTTGGCCTCTCCCGTCCTCCTCTGCCTTCCCTCATCCTCCATCTGTCACTCTCTCAACCTGAAGCAGCTGTACAAGTCGACATCGCTGCTTGAATACCATGTAACTAAGGAAAGTCCCGCATGCTTGTTTCTCTGTTCCAACTCTCTGGTCTGTGCTTGCTATGTTAAACTGGCTTAACTAACATATAACAAAGCTAACACGGAAACCATAGTCTACCATGTTAAGCTGTCCTGATAAAAACGGTATTCAACTTGCTATTACGAATGGTTTGTGATGGAGGGAAACTAGAAGTAATATGGACCATCTGTTATAGCTTGGCTTTCTCTGTTGTGCATCATCACGACTACACCAGTCAGGAGAAATCTTCGGGTTATGTTAATGTGATAATGTATTACTGCGCTTCAATAACTAAGGCTTTTAAACTCTTCACTACTGGGGAGCGCCATTTTGACTTCAGATGATTTTATTCACAACAGATAGGCCTCCATCCATAAGGGTTAATCATGTATTCTAGATTATTTAATGTATTTAGTCATTAAAAATTCAGAATAAAAAGATATATATTTCTTATGTTCTTCGTATGTTATGGAGAGTTGGTCTGGTCGAACGTCATTGGTGGCTTAGTGCAGGTGGGTCGTGAGTGAGGAATGTGTGTGTGTGTGTGGGAGGGGTAAGTCTGACATTAGAGATTACTTGCTATGTTGAACAGGACCACCACCACATACTATATTAAGACAGGCGAACCTTCTTATACATTACGGGAGGCGATATTGTTTGTTTAATTCGGGTAATAATAATAATAATAATAATAATAATAATAATAATAATAATAATAATAATAATAATAATAATATTGATATTGATATAGCCGGTTCTCACAACAACAACAACGTTCGTAAATAAACACAAACACCTAATTAATGTCGTTTGCTTTCTAATATATCATGGTTCAGTTGTAATACTCTCTCGTGTGTATTTTAATCGTCTACTTTTCGGCTTTTAGTAATATTCCTCATTTAATATTAACAAAATAATTTAAAGACAATAAAAAATATCCATCGCGTTATTGTTATATTGATGAGGGATTCTGAGTATAACGTATATCAGGTGTGTTATTTAATATATAATTCTACGATCTAACTCCTTCTAGATTTATCATTTCACTATAAAAATATATAGCAATAATTTAACACTTTATTATAAATATATATAATCCTTTACTGTATATATACACAAAGAGTCACAGGTAAACACACACACACACACACACACACACGTGAACACAGCTAAATCAATAAACCCTGCGCTCAGAGTCCCAAGTTAATAATAAAAGATAATGCAAAATAAATGAAGATTAAACTAGAAGAAAAAAGAGAGAGAGAGAGAGAGAGAGAGAGAGTGTAAAAAACATATAGACAGAAAATGAAAAGAGATATGAGAAGAGGAGGAGTAAAGGAAGGATAGGTAACGAAATAGACAGACAGAGAGTAGAAGGTAGAACGAGGAAGAGGGAGGAGATAAAGGGAAGATGGAGGCAAGGAGAAAGATAGAGACATGTGGTTGAAGGAGGTAAAAGATTAAGAAGCAGTTGAAGGGAGGGAGAGAGGGAAGGAAGGAGAAAAGGACAAGGAAGGAGAGGGATAAAAGGAAAGATGGGGATACGGGGAAAAAGGAGGGATGGGGAGAAGAAGAAAAGAAGGGAAAAGGTGAGGGAGGAAAAGAAGAAGGGAGAAGGAATGAGGGAGATAAAAAGAAAAAGTGGGGAAACGGGGGAAAAGGAGGGACAGGGAGAAGAAGGAAGGAAGGAGGAGAAAGAGAAGAAAGAAAGAAGAAATGAAGGGAGGGAAGAAGGAAGAGGGGGAGGGAAGAAGAAAGGAAGGAGGAGGAGAAGAAGAAGAAGGAAAGAAGGAAGAGAGGGAGGAAAGAAGGAAGAGAAGGAGGAAGGAAGGAGTCTCAAGAAAGTTGGTGGTGGTCGTCTTGAAGATCTGTCAGTC